AGCTGTTCGAGCAGCGCATCATCCAAGTCTCTATAGTCGTAATGCGTTGCGGCTTTACACAGGCTCGCCATGTAAGCCCTGACCGGTTCTCCCTCTCGTTGCATGCGTTGTCTGAATTCGTATCGCTGCACGAACTTGGAGGGCACGGGAGCGTAGTGAGCCCGAAGGGTTGCCATCAATGTGTCCCAGGGGACGGTCTGGACTGGCGTTGGCTCACAAAGTGACTCCGCCATCTCAAACACATCCGGTCCGCAGTGGCTTAGAAAAAGGGCTCTCTTCCGATTAGCAGAGAGTCCTTGCATGTCGCTGGCTTTGAGCAAGCACTCAAACCTCATTAGGTATGAGACCCATTTCTCGCGGGCCGGGTCAAAAGGCTTGGGCGGAACGTAGGTGGATATGTTTGGTATGCCTCCTGTTGTTCGCCTCGTCTCCTAGCTGAAGCTCGTGGTGTCACTGGTTCGCTCCTTGTGGCCTCAATCCCACCTTCATCGCCAATGTTGTGGCGCAGGAATAACGAGAGGCACAAGCAAGCAAGTGACAACAGCTCTTTAATATACAGTGAGACTTCAGCAAAAACTCTGAGGCAGCAGCCCTCCTTATATACAATCCTGGAGAGGCTGTCAGCCAATCAGCAACTAAGGCAAATTTGAAACTCCCGCTGAAATGTAACAATACATTAATGCAGGTGTGTGCATGAATTCTAGGATTTGTTTATTCATTAATGTGATTGTTTGATTATTAGTATAAAATTTTATCCTAATCAGTGCTTTGGCATGAACACCTATTTCCAGTGGCAGGTTTCAAGTAATTTAACAACTGGTTCTCTGCCCTAATGATTTCTTCCAACAACCAGTTTGCCAAACTTCTCAGAAAGTTAACAACCAGTTCACCTAAAGTGGTGCGAACTAGCTGAATCCCACCACTGCCTATTTCTACACTCACTGAACTGCCTAATGACATTCTCTCCCAGTGGTCTTCACTTTATAGGACCTAGTCTAGCTTTTAGAACTACTCTAAAAACACTCAGTTTTCAAAATTTAGTTCCTGGAACAATGTCCATCAGCAACTTGCCAACTTGAACAGTACAGTATTCCATTCCTTTGTTGGATTTTGCATGCTCAGCCTTGGGTTTTATTTGCAGTTAGTCTTATACTGTGAACTTAACTTCATGCTGACTTCAAAAAGCTTAGTTGATCCAGGTTAACAGCTTCCAAATAGTTTGCTGGGACCTAGCCTATGTAATTCTTCTCAAGGCTTTATGTCTGTGGGGTGGAAAACATAAAGCCTCTTTCCTCTCTTTCTTATTTTCTAGGATTAGTTTGACCTGTCCCACCTCTGGTAAAGTATTTAGACATCTAGAAGCTTACCAGGGATGTTGTCAGAAAGAGATCATGGGAAAAATCAATACTGCAAATTCTGTTCACGGAAAGATGGATCATCATGATGGTAGTTAAAGAATACAAGTGCAATGTGAGAAAATCCTTTGCAGGATGAAGTCAGACTTGAAGGCTGAGCAGGAACTTCTACAGCCATTGAAAGCATAATGCCATCTATCAGACAAGGGGAAAAATAGATAGAGAGGTTGTTAACTTAGGAGAGTTTTGGGCCAATAGGCAGCAAAAGATTATATTAAATGAAGACCTATGTAAGACATAGATGGATAACCTGAAGCACTAAAATATATGCCACCCAGTTTTATTTATTTATTTATTTATTATTCAAACTTCTATACCGCCCTTCTCATTTCGGACTCAGGGCGGTGAACAGCCAAAATAAAAACATTTATACATAACATTACAGTTAAAAATAGATTTAAAATAATTAAATAAATTTGGCCCGTAATTTAAAACTTGTCAATTTAAAATCCGTATCAAATTTTAAAACCTACCATAAAATCAAAACAGACTGGCTAACTGAAAAAAGTAAGTTTTTAGGGCCCGACGAAAAGTCCGGAGGTCGGAGATCATTCGTATCTCTGGCAGTAGATTGTTCCAAAGGGTAGGTGCCACCACAGAGAAGGCTCTCCTCCTAGGGGTCGCCAGCTGGCATTGTCTGGCCGACAGCACCCTGAGGAGGCCCTCTCTGTGGGAGTGAACCGGCCGGTGGGAGGCTATTGGTGGCAGAAGGCGGTCCTGTAAGTTCCCTGGCCCTAAGCCATGGAGCGCTTTAAAGGTGATCACCAACACCTTGAAGCGTACCCGGAAGTCCACTGGAAGCCAATACAGCTCGCGCAGAAGAGGAGTCACATGGGAGCACCCCGTCACTCCCATAATCTCCCGCGCGGCCGCATTCTGCACCAGGTGGAGCCTCCGGGTGTACCCCAAGGGCAGCCCCATATAGAGAGCGTTACAATAGTCCAGACGAGAGATGACGAGTGCTTGAGTGACTGTGCGTAGGGAGTCCCGGTCCAGAAAGGGGCGCAACTGGCGTATCAGGTGAACCTGATTGATTTTATTTCATATCATTTATTTGCTATAGCTTTCGGAGCTCCTTCAATCCACTACTGTGGAAAATTAGCAACATATTCTTGCCACAAAAATTGCAAGGATTAAAATAGACTTGACATTTAAAATAAAAGACAGGGAATACCCTCCAACTTCTCTTCCAACTCAGGAAACATATCCTGGTGCTCTTTGTTCACTTTTCATTGTCACTCTTTCCAGTAAGGACCTTGACTTGTTAACTTGGCTTTTAGTTACTAAATTGGTTGCCAATTCCTGGTCTAAGGATTAAAACTGGTATTAGTGGCATTATCATGAAGTGAATTATTTTGAGACTCAAAGCCTTGATAGAAACACTTTTCAGTTCAGTCCACAGTTTTCAGTGAACAATTCTATGAATTGGCCATGTCCTTGTTTCCTTCATAGTGACGTCCTGCCTGAAAATATTAAGCTAAGTCCTAAGGACCCTTTTCTGAAGAAACAGTCAGCCACTTTATTTCTTTTACAGACTCTCGTTCTCCCCAATTCCCAAATCATTTTAAACAACAGCTTCCAGTAAACAGTACACAATGCCAGAATGAGGCATTTGCTTTAGCAACATGTTGATGGAAGGCAGGTAACATCTTAATGCCCAGGAGATATCTGCCCAAGAAGAAATTGTTTAAACTTAACACATCTCCTAAAAGGTCCTTACAGACTACAACCATGAAGGAAGTCTGATCCTCTTACTCCTTTCATCTACCCAACCTTCTCCATCAAGGGTACCAGATTTAAATACTGAACTGCAGAAGGCTCAGGGCTGACCCTTGAGTGCACTTGGATTTTACAAACTGTCACATGGCGAGATAGTGATGGGTTTTGATGCTGTCACCTTTTCAGTCAGTCCAGATGAACTAGAATCACCATTTCAGTTATATCATAGCTTGCGGGCGAGAACATGTCACCCTCTTTATTTCAAGCTCAGAACAAGCTGCTTAGGCAGATGCTAACTGTGGTCCTCCCTGCCATGTTCTGTAGAGTGGCCTTTGTCTGGGTTAATTGAGCCCCCACTCCATTTAATAGGCTGTTGAAGCCTTATTGAAACGGAGCTAGTGCCGCAGGTTAAATACATTGCCGTGCTCCTGTTAATCCCCTCATTAACGGAGTTGTAAAGCTTGTTGAGAGCTGTGAGCTTGCATATATTAAAGAAGAGTTCTTTACTAGAATGCTATCAATAAAATGACAAAACCAGTTTGCAAATAGTGAAATCAACAATGACAGTGAGCTACATGTTTTAGAAGAAATAAATATCTTAATAATAGGTAACTCTTATTTACACAGTGGGAGAATTAAAGAAAAGGTACCCAAAGATCATGAGTATTGTTGTTGTTGTTGTTGTTGTTGTTGTTGTTGTTGTTGTTGTTGTTGTTGTTGTTATATTTTATTATGATGATATTTTATTATTGGTTGGAGGTACAGTAAAGATAATAAATAAAAAGGTCGGGTGGTTGAAATGAAAGAGCAAGCAGAGGAGAAATCTATTATTTCTTCCTGATTGCTTTCTGGTCAATGAGCCATTTGGTTAGCACCACACTTACAAGAAGCACCGAAAGCAAATGCATGTTTCAAACAAAACCGGAGAGAATGTGAGATGCAAGAATCCTTAGAGATTAGAAAAAGCCAAATACAGGAATGGTGGATAGAAATGACTTGAGATACTAAAGGAAAAAAATCACTAATGATTCACCAATAGGTGGAGTAGAAGAAACTACACAGACATGATTTGTGGTAATCATAGACTACGTATGTAGAATTTACAAAGTTTTAAATATCCCTGAATTTTTCTAATTTGCAGACAATTGTAACAATGATGGATTCTGTTATGATCCGGAAACAAATATAAGGAGAAATAACTTTAGCTGATGGGTATGATGGAATCACATGTTGAGTGTAATGAAGCAAGAAATATGAATAAAATATGCATGATGAGGAAATAATTTTTTCACCTGGACCATAAAATTCCTTCAAATTCAAAATTCATAACTGAGTATGTATATGAATCAAGACTTAGAAAATATCTGAGTAACAATCAACAAGACTTCCAAATAATGGCCAAGAATGATTTTTTTTAGTTAATTCTTAAACCAAGGCAGCTCACTTCCAAGTGGATGTAGATGAAAGAATGTGGGAATGAAATGAAGTGACTAAATGTTCTATCTTCTATCTTCTAATTATTATTTGTATAGAATATATTGAGTCCTTTGTCTACAAATATAATTTATATATAAAATAACGAGGGAGGGAGGGAGAGAGGGAGGGAGGGAGGAGGGAATTCAGGTGTTAAAAGATTCTAATTTCAGTGCTTCTATACATCTAAGTCTATCCTTTAATTTGCATTCTGCGTGCATCATAGGTATTGCCTACAAAACAATGTCTGTAAAGCTACCCCTTCTATACCCCACCATCTTATCAGTTAAAGAACAACAGTTTAATTATCAAAGAGAAGATAGCTGTGCTTGCAAACCTTCAGCAGATCATCCCAAACAAGCAAAGTATAGCATATACAAACACATACCAGCTGCAAAATCTTTGTATGTATTTATCTGACATTAAGAAGACTTTATCACTTGGAGCAGGAAGGCCAAAGAATCCAAACTTCAACTCCTGGAGAAAAGGGAAAATATAAAAGCTAACAGTAATCTCTACAGACATAAAAGCTAACAAATCAACAAATAGCAAAGGGCCAAGTTTTGTCCAAAATATCACAATAATTTAAATGTTTTTCATGTGCTCCATATTACGCGAGTAAATTTCACTATCCCAAATCTTTTTTCTGATTTGAATCCTAAATAAGATGCCAATTCAATTTGCATTGAATGAAAGTACAGTGGACTAAAGCACTGTTATCAACATCTGCTGCTTGCAATTACTGCAAGTTCAAATCTCACCAGGCTCAAGGTTGACTCAGCCTTCCATCCTTTCAAAGGTAGGTAAAATGAGAACCCAGATTGTGGGGGCAATAAGATGACCTTGTATAAATATACAAAAGTATGAAGGCTATTGCTTAACAATTGTAAGCCGCCCTGAGTCTCCGGAGAAGGGCAGCATAGTCTTCCAATGATGCACCCATCACCACTGTAATTGAGTCAATTCACCTTGCTGTTGGTTTTCCCCTTTTGTTCCACATTTCCCAGCATAATATACTTCTCAGGAGAGAAATGCCATAAATACCCTTAAAATATAGCACTGTAGAAGTAGGGAGATGATACAGGACTATAATAAATACAGCCCAGTGAAATTTATCATTAAATTTTAATCTCAAAGAGTAATAATAAGGAAACTACATAAAATATAAAAAGATATATTCTTATATTGTCTTTGACCCAAAGATATATATTATGATTACATTAATCCTTGCTTATCCCTGATAAATTGTATCTATGTTGTACACAAGGATTCTCTTGTTAAAATTATAGGGGTTGAGAATCCTTTGCTGAGCAACCTATGTACTATCAGTCCCAGTATTTCCTACCATTGGCAGTACTTTTGGAAATTGTAATGCTGAACCTCTGCACCACCACATTAAACAAAACAGTGTTAAGGGATTTAACCCATTCAGAACTTTGAACATCAGTAGAACATGACATTAAAAAATAATAATGGTGAATACTGTAGGAAGAGCTATTATCTTTTATAGGATCACAATTAATGTTTTTAAAATGAATTTAAATACATAGAGCTTTTTTTCTGTTTGATTGAAATAGTTCCTTCAGAAGCTTGGTATTTGTAACTCATATATAATTTATATTTAATAAGAAATCAAGTATCAACAGATGGCAAGATGCAGTAGTGGGTTTCAAATCCCATCGCTACGGTTCCTTTGTGGGTGCGCGTGTGCTTGTGCACATGCAAGCAACACTTCTGTGCATGCACAGAAGCATCCGGGCGAGTGGGCAGAGCCTTTCGCTGCTGCCGCTACTGGTTTGCCCAATTCAGGGCAAAACGTAGCAATTCACCACTGGCAAGATGTCCAGCAGGCCATAAAGACACATAGATATGTATGTATCTATCTATATGTATGTAAATATACAATGTTCATTTGTGTGTAGATGTGTGTGTGTGTATGTATATATGTATGTATGTATCTTTGTGTGTGTGTGTGTGTGTGTGTGTGTGTGTACACAAATGAGCATTGCAATCTAGGTGAATTTTGGCTTTGGGAAATGTTCTTGCTTTATCAGACTGACTGTGTGATTGTTTTATTAACACCCTTTTCATTTTCAGCTCTTTTCACTGTTGATAGTCTTTACAAATTATACCCTCATTTTGCTAAATTTGGATTCCCAAAGAACTTGCAGTTGTCACATTCTACCAGTGCTAGACTTCTGCTGCTATGAATTAATGGCAATGCTTGTTCTGGAGCTGGCAAAGCAAATCCCAGTGGAAATTATATTCATCATCTTTAACTGTTGATATTCACAAATCTCTGAAAGAAGATTCCCAAGTGCAAAGGTAATAGGCAGATGTCCCAAATCCAGGCATGCCCTTTCCTGGGGTACTTCATTCTTTTGAAAAAAATAAAATATTCCTATTTTAGGATTGAACTGTGGAGTCCTTGGTGTTCTCTGGACTTGTTTTCTTGCAAATGTTTCATTACTATACTAAATCACACTATCAATGTTAGAAGGGAATAGGGTTTGTTCTTATTTTATATACTAATGGCTTGCCCTGTCAGTATTTGTGGAAGTAATTGTCAGGAGTAAATGCCTTGCCTCAGACCCAGGGCTAGAGGCAGGGGGGCTGGACAAGCCAACCCCCAAGGTCCACCCTAACCCAATAACCCCTCCTTACCTTAGCCACGCCCAGGAGGTACTTAAGGATCAGCCATGCAGTCCTGCTTCAGTTCCAGATCTGTACCTGTAATGATAAGATGCCTTGTTAATAAATACTATTTGATTTGATGAATACCTGCTTGTTGGAGTTATTGGGCACGATCCTCGAACATCCTTAACAATATGGTAGCAGAGGATGGTTTAACAGCCCAATTCTAATACTCCAGAACATGCAAAGGACCACGACAGACAGGGTGAATACCAGGGCATTCACCAAGAAGATGGCAGAACAGCCTGCTCAACCCGAAGCCATGCAAGGAGAGGCACCCGAAATGAGTGGCCTACTCCACCACCCATGCACCCCGACCCGAAGCGATGAGGGGTGGAAGAAACGCGAGAGCCCGACAGGAGAAATGCACGACCTAAAAGGAAAACTCCTGAGGCTGATAGACTCGTCACAAAACAACACCGACCTCATCGCGGAACTCCGGAGCCTGGTCAAAGGCTGCGAAGCAGCGAGTGAGGAAGATGAAGACGAGTCCGACTACAGTGACGAAGACGCGGTAAGAAAGGACTGCCCCCACCAGAAAACCACCGAAAAGGCCGAAGAAGAATTTGCACCCTTTTTGCGGCAGCCATCTTGGGAGGTGACGTCACCAAAGATGGCCGACCATCCACCAATAGATTCCCAAGATTTAAATCTCATGGCGGGAATCGGGGCCTACCCCAAAGTAGCCACCCAAAACTACCAAAACAAATGGGAAAGCCCAAAGCCTAAACCTACGGGCCTGCCTACCGAGCCCGAGGTCAACAAAGCAATCGAACTAATCACCGCGGCCCTAGGGGACAAGATGAAGTTACCGGACACACATCCCGGTGCCAGGCCAAAGCGCAAAGGGGACCCTAACGCGAGGAGAACCAGCACCGGTGTCCACCCAGGGGAGCAGATCGCCACCGCGCAGACCCAGCACTACCCAGGACTCCCAGGGAGCCCACCGTAGGAATGGGACACCGAGGGCGATGGGACCACTCACCGGACCGACGACCGGAACCAGATCCAGGACCCGCGGGGCCATCCACAGGCAGGGGACGTCCATTGGCGGGCAGGGGATTCGGCCCGACACCCGGAGGCGACACCCACGCGAGGCCGGGCCATCCGAGACCATTCGTGGCCCCAGCGGGACATCCAACCTTCCCCGGCGATCCTCACCACTTCCCGAGGCTCCAGACGGTGATCCGCAACAATTTCGCCCAAGCGAGGGTGACCAAGGAGGAACCGAAGGCCCATCCGGAAGATTGGGGCCTTCATCCGGGAGCTGCTGAGACGAGCTCCTCACTCCACGGCGGCTGGACAGGAATGAACTTCACGCAAGCGCAGTTCCTCCCTGTAAGAGAACGGAGCGAGACATAGAGCTATACCGACGCAAGCACATAGAAGCAAGTCAGTTCAGACTTGCCACAGTCGTCCCTCTGCCTTATTGCGAGTATCCTTACGCGAGGAACCATGGACAGCGACATAATGTAAGTAATTTAACTTACAATTCAGGGACTTTGCCAAGTGACTTTCCCAAACTAAGGCTAGATGGAGAGAATTTCCTGGACTGGAACCAGCAGCTCTAAGTCACCCTGCTGAAGGAAGACCTACTATCCTTAGTCACTGATCCCCCAGAAAAATCCTGGACTTTTGAATTAGATTGCACCCACCATAAAGCATATTGTATTGTTATTGCTAGCATTACCCCCAGCATTTACCCTAGCATTAGCCACCACTTGACTGCTCTAGAGGTAATAGAGAGAATGCACAAACTATTTTACTGTCAAAGCGTAGCAAGCACCACTAGACTATCCAGAGAGTTCTATGCCACAAAACTCAAAGCAGGGACCCCAATGAGCGAGCATTTATTGTCCCTAAATGCCACCAGGGCCCAGCTGACCCAGAGGGGGGAGGTCATAAGTGAGAGGACCATGATAAGTATTATTGTAAACTCCCTGGACCCCAGCTGGGACACCTTCATCACACAGATAGACAACCTAGGGTCAGGGAAACTTACACTGGAATTACTAACAAGCAAACTCATAGCTGAAGACAGCATCAGGAAAGACCGCTCACTAGGCCGCAGGGAGCAGAGACCCAGCAGAAGGACTGAGACACAGGGTAGGAGCTACAGTAACACAGAGTGCTACATATGTGGGTCAAAAAACCATTACAAAAGGGACTGCCCTAGAAACACAGGGGACAGGGACAGGTCACATCGAAGGGACAGACCAGAACAAAGGGCAAGATACAGTGACAGACACTCGCCAGAGGACAGACACAGGCGCAGAGACTCCCCTAGCCCCAGGAACAGAAGAAATCACAGGGGCAGCTCCAGGGAGAGCCAGACTGGGTCACTGTATGGACTGGGAGATCAAGAGCAACACAAGGGTCAGGACAGGAAGGAAGGCACATGGCTACTGGACTCAGGAGCTACAAACCACACCACATATGACTGTAACTCACTAACCTCATTCACAGAAGAAAAGTTTATAATAAAAGTGGCTAACCAGAACAACGTGCAAGTGACAGGGAAAGATAATACATACGTGCCAGGGATAGGGATAATACAGGGGGTGCTATTAGTGCCAAATATACCCTATAATATCCTTGCCACACTAAAACTGAGCAAGGACAACAATGTTGAGGTGACATTCAAAGAAGGAAAGGCACATGTAACTAGAGGGGGCAAAAGCATAGGGAAAACAGTGATCAGTGGGGAACTGCCATTCTTCCACCCAGTCAGAGACACACAACCCAAGGTAAACAACCACTGGAAGGTAAAACCCGACAACCCAGACAACACAAGTGAGGAAGGAGAGGGGGTTAACCACACACACACCACTAGTGATCCAAGTGAGCAGGAAACACCCAGGAAGGAAAAGCCAGCGATAGGGAAGCTGATGCATAACAATTGTGCACACCTGCTACACAGAAGGCTAGGGCACATTAGCTTTCCTGTGGTGCAGAAAATGATGGAGTGCTCCGAAAGTGTAAAAATAAAGAATTGTGAGAACTATCTCAAGTGTTCTATTTGTAAAAGCTCTAAATTAAGAACCAAACCCAGGCCCAAAAAGTCAGTATGCACAACCAATTCAATTTTCCAACTCATACATATGGACCTAGTGGGGCCACTAAGGCCCTCCATCAAATACAGGAAGAGGTTCTTCCTGACCATAGTGGATGATTTCAGCCGCTATGGCTTCATGTACACTCTAAGACATAAAAACGAGGTATTCCAAAAATTTAAGGAATTCTATGCAAGGGTGGAAACACAGCATAACACCAGGATCAGGCAAATAATGACAGACCGGGGGTCTGAATTTTTGTCGAGCGACTTCTCGCGATAGTCCATTACACGACTTCTCCGTTTTCCACCTTTCAAAATGGCGTCGTAGAACGAAAAAATGGAACACTGCAGACCATGATGAGGTGCGCACTAGAGGATCCCGGTTTAGGGCAGCATTTCTGGTCGGAAGCACTCATTTATTCAAACTACACCTTGAACAGGTTATGGTCCAGCGTACTGAATAAAACTCCATATGAGTTGATGTACCAAAGGAAACCACAAGTGTCACACTTACATATATTCGGGGTCACAGCAGATGTACACATCCCCAAGCAATTGAGACACAAGGGAGACAAAGTATCCAGAAGGTTGAGGTTCATGGGGTACGAACCAGGGACGAAGGGATACAGGTTCATAGACAGCAACAACAGGTTTGTGATATCACGAACAGCTGTCTTCCACGAAAATACCAGCTGGTCCAAGATACACCTCAATGAGGTGTCCCTTAGCAAGGACGGAACAGGGGATGGCCAAAAGGAGATAAGGCATAACACAGGAAAGGACACAGAACAGGAAAAGGGCAAACCCAAGAGACAGGAAATACAAGTGAAGGAGTGGAAGGAGAACCACCCATGCATCAAGGTGGACTCACTCACAGAGAAAGAAGCTAGGTACATGCATGACACCGAGACACCCCCTGCCAGGCCAGTGAGGACAAACAGGGGCAAGGCGCCAGAAAGGTTAGGGGACTACGTGTTATCCCTCCACACTAACCAATTAACTCCCAACACATATGAGGATGTACTGAAGTTACCAGAGGGAGAAAGAGCAAAATGGGAACAAGCCATGGAGAGGGAAATGAACAGCTTGAGGGAACTAAACGTATACACCCCTTCTGAAGTCCCAGCAGGCAAAACGCCCATAGGCACCAGGTGGGTCTACAAAGTCAAACATTAGAGGGAGACAAAGTCCTCTACAAGGCTAGACTGGTGGCACAAGGGTTCGCTCAAAAGTACCCTGATGATTACACTGAGACATACTCCCCCACAGTCAGGGCTGAGAGCGTAAAATGTGCGTTGGTAATTGCATCACTACTTGGGCTAGAAGTACACCAATTCGATGTACAAACCGCTTACCTGCACGCTGAGCTCGACAAGGAGATATACGTGAGAGCGCCCCCTAGCCAAAGCACCAGAAAGGGGGAAACCTGGGTCCTGAACAGAAGCTTGTATGGACTCAAACAATCAGGGAAACGATGGTACGAATGCCTATCCAAGACTCTGAAATCCATGGGGTTCTCAGCCACCTCGGCCAACAACTGCTTCTTCACTAAGAAGTCAGGCAACTCCCTCAAATACGTCCTGATATACGTGGACGACATATTGTATATAGGCGATCAGTCTAGCAAGTGCAATGACTTCGCCAATGAGCTGGGGAAACACTTTTCACTGAAAATATTGGGTAAGGTGGATAAGTACTTGGGGTTGCAAATTACAAAGACTGGCAAAGGTTTCCAACTATCACAGAAGGACAATATTTTGGAACTGTTACATAAATGCAATATGTCAAACGCCAAAACATGCGAGACACCAATGCAACCAGACTTCATAAAGGACATGCACAATGAGGCTGAGGCGTTTAAGGACAACACATTATACAGATCCACCATAGGATCTCTATTATACATTGCAAACTGGACAAGGCCCGACATCGCCCTGCCAGTTAACTTGCTATCTTGACATGTAGGTAACCCTACCGTATACCACTGGGAAGCCATCAAGAGGATACTGAAATACCTAAAGCATAGCGCCGATGCCTGCCTATCACTAGAGCCCGAGAACACCAAAAGACCCACACTCACATGTTACGCTGATGCTGACTGGGCCGGGGACATGAAAAGCAGGAAGAGCACTTCAGGCTACGTGTTCTTCCTCAACAACAGCCCAGTACACTGGTATACGGGCAAACAGGACCTGGTAGCTACATCCACAACAGAGGCCGAATACATTTGCTTGTCCAAAGTTGCCAACAACCTGGTCTGGTTTGATGACCTGCTCGCAGACATATGGGCCGAACCCAACTACCCAATCACCATACACGAGGACAATAAAGCCGCTGTGGAAATATCAAAGGCTGAAGCAGTTGGTCAGAGGTCGAGGCATATTGACATTAAGTATAAACACGTTAGACAGTTTGCAAGCATAGGATTCATAAGAGTTATACATTGTGACACAGAAGAACAGACAGCAGACATTCTAACTAAACCATTGCAAAACAAACAGCATACATATCTGACATCAAAATTGGGTGTCCTCTCAAAAACAACATCCCAGATACACACTATCCAAGAGAATCTCGGCCAGGCATTTAGAGGGGGTTTTGTCAGGAGTAAATGCCTTGCCTCAGACCCAGGGCTAGAGGCAGGGGGGCTGGACAAGCCAACTCCCAAGGTCCACCCTAACCCAAAAACCCCTCCTTACCTTAGCCACGCCCAGGGGGTACTTAAGGGTCAGCCATGCGGTCCTGCTTCAGTTCCAGATCTGTACCTGTAATGATAAGATGCCTTGTTAATAAATACTATTTGATTTGATGAATACCTGCTTGCTGGAGTTATTGGGCACGATCCTCGAACATCCTTAACAGCAATCTTGGTGGTTCCTTGATTTGGCTGTTGTTACTGTTAGCTTTTCTATCTGAGTTGGTGGTTCCTTGATTAGGATATTTACTTCTTAATTGTTGGTCTAGTGTTAATC